CTATGCAGCTTGAGTCAAAGTGCAATGTCTGGAGTTGATAATGAGATAGAATTCTTCAACTACTAAGACAATTTGGCCAAGGGTGTGATTCAAACCATGGAAGGTACCTTCCATGATAACACCAACCACAGCTAGCAGCTTCTAACAACTGAGGTATTACAGAATACGATGGATGTTAATATGAATTTGATCATTATAAGTCATTTCAATGTCTTGTGGTGTGCAATGAATTATCAATGAGCAAATTGAAAATTGTACAATATACACTGTATTTATGTAAATTACCTTTCTGTAAGCACTTTGCCATTTTGTAAATTCAATTTAATAACTATAGATAAGGATATGAGTATGTGTTATTTCTACTGTTAGATATGTGAGAGTTTATGAAAATAAATATTGATATCATTGGTTGATTCAAACTTCGCACAGTTCGATACGCATTACTTATCATCACTGCACAAAGCAGCTTTGCATAGAACTCATTTGCATATTTGAATATGTTCGAACTACAAGACCCTGTCGATTAACAAAGTTATGCGTAAGTCACTTGGTTACTTTAATCACTTTATAAGACGTTTCACGCCCTGACTCCAAATAAAATGTTCAGTTAATGAGATCAAAATATACATGACTTGCAACCCTTTCCGAGATAAAACAACCGCGGGAAAAATGGCCGTGCGTGGTGAGGTGATTGACCACAAAATTGAAGGCTGCCTGTGGCAGAGGTACTATTGCGTAAAGCGAAAAGACCTATGGGAAGGAGATTGGTATAATGTATGTACTAAATGTATGTACTAGATTCGAAATGAATTGTCAGACATGCATCCTAAAATGTATAATGTATGTACCAAATTTGAACTAATATACCATATTTAAAAAAAAATGGCTGCCAGTCATATTGGATTGAATCAGTCATGTGCATATGTCCCAGATAAAGTACTAGGCCCATGCAAAATATGAACAGATTAGGTAAACAGAGTTCTGAAATAATACTCTGGACGGCTGGACAGAAGGACGGACAGACAGAGACTAAATTAAAAGTCTCTGTTTCGAACGACGATCAAGTGGGGACTAATAAATTGCACTACGAAACTTTTATGCTCCTCGGGAAAATACTTTTTTTTTATCTACAATATTACAAGACAATTTCATTGAATTTGGCCTTGAAAAAGAGATGCCTCTTCAAACTTTCAACGTTCCTTGATAGGAGAACAGTATAACTGAACATTAAAATTACTTTTTTAAAAGATTTTGAAAAATTCGGGTTGGTAGATTTTGGTTTCTAAACAGTGACATGTATTGTGACTGATTTCCTACTGGTGAAAGATTGCATCTGATCACCACCTGCTTACGATAAGTTAACCACATTAGAATGTGCATCACACTATATCAGGTTTAATTTACAAAGTGATGCATGGTGGAGAAAATGCACATGGAATTAACGTTTCTCTCTTACAATTATTGTATATCTTCCAGTCCAAGTGTGTACACTGTTCCAAAATATTTAGTAGGAATGGTGAGGCTGTATGCAAAAGGGACCTAGCTGAGCTCCATACAGTACTAGCATCAAGCCATGCCAGTATACATTCCTAAAATGTATCAAAGTTAGTGAGAGTGCATTTTTGTGGTCAGTTATCATGATGAATATATTGAATGGTTCATCCTGAATGTATCACTGTAAATAATATTAACATTTTGGAAAGTAGTAGAGAAATACCGTAGTGTTTTTCTAGTGTAAATAACATGAAGCGTGTGGTAATGACATCAATTATGGGACATTAAAAATAATGTATGCCACACAATGGGAGAATCCTCGGCCCAAAAAAAGGTAATAGTGCAAGTTAGTTTAAAACCTGTGCTTCACACGCAAGTGTGGCAGAGTAAGTTTTGATGAAACAAATCAATCTTAATGTATGTATTTGATTACATTATCTATTAAATGTTGAAAGTTGAACACGTACCTTGTTGTTGTGGTATTGAATAATCTTAATCCAAAATTAAAATTAATACTGTGCCAATTTTTAATTCCTCTGGCGTGAGAAGCAAAATCTTTTTTTTCGCACTTTTCTGTAATAAAAAAAAATGAAAAGCGCCTCATGCAAATCACAGACAGGAACATCAATGACCTCTTTTATAATTGTTTCCTTTCAATAATAATACAGTGGACAGTGTTCCTACCACTACAAGATTGTAATGCTTGGATTTTTGGAAGCATGTGTATGAAAAAAAATAGGGCCCTGTGTCTGACACTCATTGTTAATTTTAACATTAACCAAGCAACAAATTAGAAGTACAATATACAATACTTGCTCAAGTGTGTCAAGGCCAAGATGAATCTGTATGTGTTAAATTGTGTAGCTGATATTAGAAAAATTTCACAACACAATGACATTGGTATTGATTCAAGCAGTTATCACTGTATGAATTGTTTACTCCTTGTTAATGTACATTCATTTTGTGTTTCTGTCACACAGAGAACCAACCTGCCATTATATGAAGTTTCGTTTTGCACAAAAAATAAATAGAACAAAATAAATCACCAAAATAAATATAAAAATATGAAAAACTAACAATCTAGCAGTTTGAACAAAATTCGTGAAAATGGCATTTCTGCCAAAAACAAAATAGCATCTAAAAAATTCACTAAAAATACAAAATTAAAGATAATTCTACTATATGACAAAATAGTTTATAGTTGACTTGAAAGCAATCTGTGTGATGGTTGGAGAGAAATTTTTCAAAAATTATGATTTGGACAAAAAAAGTAATAAAAAATAATGAAAGATTCACTAAAAAAAAAAAAATAAAGATAATGCTACCACATCAACAGGCTACACAGAGGACCGACCTCCATACTTACCCAGTGTACAAGTGTATGCTAAATGTGAAGTCAATCAGACTAATGTTATTTGAGAAATTGAAAAAAATTTCAATTTTCAGCTTTTTTTGACCCAATTTACAGAATTATAGACAGATCTATAAACAAATTCCAATCTCATAAAGAATGTCACAAATTAAAAAAAAAAAATAATCAGAAATAAATTCATAAATTGCACAAAATTTAAGATATCATTACGAAACGAACAACCTTGAAAGAGGTCTGCCCCAGATCCCTACATACTAAATATGGAAGCAATTTGACTGATGGTTTTACAGAAGAAGTCGAAAATAATAAAAACAAATTTAAAGAAAACGCTACCACATCAACAGACCATACAGAGGACCAGCCAAGGTACCGACATGCTAAATAACAAAATCAATCATAATGACATTTTATGAGAAATTTACGAAAATATCAATTCTCAGCTTTTTTAACCCAATTTCCAGATTTGTTGATGGATTCACTTCTTTTGAACGAATTACCATCTTCAACCATAGACCCTCTAACAGTAAGGAATCTTCATACCGAAAATCAGAACTAAATTTCCAGTGGTTTTGGAGAAAAAGTCATCTCTGTCCTTCAGACAAAATTTAATGTGAATATTACCCAGTATAAAATGATGCACATATTCTTTCACATGAAGGCACTTAAAATCACTGGCAAAACTGATGTTTACTAAGGCAACAAGTGAATTCATGTAAATCTATCAGTGTCAAAACTTTTGTTTTAAACAGTCAATGTTGACTACTGTAATGACAATATCATAGCTTTGTATTCTTCAATTAAGTTGCCTTCTTCATCTAACGTTAAATCCAAATAATCCTCTTCATAATCAGTTATATCTGGGACAAGTTCATTCACTGCAGCCTTCTCTTCTTCAGTCTCCATAGAAGTTTCAGCTAAAAAGAGGAAAATATATTAAGTTTAACTATGCAACTATTTAATCCACTTTTGCATGTTGAGGTTATGGATTTTTACGAGTAATTTGTAAATCAATTGATTCAAACATAAAAATATTAAAATTCAAAGCCACAAATCGATTGCTTTCACAAGATTTACACTGAGGACGCTGCCCCGCAACATGAGGTCACCAGTAAAGTCTAAACTGAAGATTTCTGGTACAGTAAAAATAACAAAAAGACACCTGAAAGTAACACAAACTGTAATCACAGGAACAAGTTGATACAGACAGCAAATATGTCTACTGATCATGACATCACATTACATTGAAGATAGTGCCCTCAGTGTCTGATATTACAACTACTACTACAAGATGTAATAATACAGTCAAACCTGTGTTAGCAACCACTCACCTATAGTAACTGTTTTCAGGCAGTCCTAACACATATGTATATGTTACGTGACACTTTCAACAATTTTTTTGCTGATTTGCCTTTGTTTAAATAATATTTAAACATTCTGCTTATAAAAGAAATTTGTATTTCTTTGAGTCAACAACACCATGTCATTATTTTCTGGGCAAATATTAAGTTAAGTGTATACTGGGTTAGTTGCAACCATGAAAAAATTCTTTTGCGTGGTTACCATATACAGGTTTGACTGTATATATGGCTTGAAATCACCTTAAATTAAACCACTATACATATCAATAAGTCATTGTTAATGACATAGTCCCTGTTTGTATTTTAGGTGCAAAACATATGACATGATGTGTAATGTATATGTATGAGATGACTGCCAGTCAGCCATTTTGAATTTGATAGTGACAAAAATGCTTGTGTATTGGTCATAATATGCAAATGTGAATATGGAACTGCATTTTTTAAAACAAAAAGGCCATCAGTCGACTATTTTGAACTTGATAAAAACAGAAGAAATTATGTGCTTTAAAATGGCTGCCATTTGGCCATCATCAGATCATGAATGTGAATATGTCCAATATGATGTATGTCTTATATTCAACTAATGAACAACTGCACTCTCTGAAACAAAATGGCAGCCAGTCGGCAGTTTTTAAATCAGTCTGAAAAATAAATGAGCATCCCCTTGATGTTTAATGTATGTTTGAATCAAATCTGTTCACACACGACTAAGATCTGGTTTGATAGAAATGTTTAATTTTGATGCTTTTGTCAAATGAACTGTTTGTTAAACACAGAATACATATTTTTGAGTAAAATTTTCCTTTCAAAATGTGGATGCAAAGTTTTGCCTGTTATGTATTTTTGCATTATTTTTGTTTTGATAACTTTGGACTAAACAAACATAATTTTCTATTGGCTTCAGATCTTGATCAATAGTTTGGCATGCAAAAGGTTATTCACAGGAGTTCTTATAACGATTATCTTACATCTTGTTTTCTGTTAGGATATTTTATTGGTATGTTTGCAAATCTGTATTAGACTGTGCAACAATTCTCTCTATGAGTTGACATTAAACCCAGTCTAGTATCCCCATGGGATTTGGAAGGTACATTACCAATGATATTGATTAAAAGATAAATGATTTATTTCATTGAACACATACAGCAATGCATATTCCCACTTGGACCAGTGACCTTTGAATGTGTATCACCAGTCAGTCACATAGAAACGACTATTTTCTCAATTTTTGCATGACATTTTCACACAAGACATCTTTCGTTCATACTAAGGAAAGACATTATACTGATGAATTAGGTGACCAAGTTTGATACTATTTGGAATAGAATTTGTAAAGTTAAATTGTAAACAAATTGTTAAATTGTGAACAACAACAACAACAACAACAACAACGGCGACAATGGAATTTTTCCCTTAAAATACCTTTCTCGTATCTTTGTGATACGGGTAAGGTGGAAAAACAAAATCAATTTGGTCTGATTCGGTAGGAGACGTGAATGCTTGACAACTCTCACATTGACACAAAACAGACAGCAGTACAACAACATTATAAACTGTAAATATTACAGGGATGTGGAGAGGCTGCTACATATAAGATGTTACCAACATGGAGGGAGTGACTTTGACATTGATTAGTTGGTGTGAATATGGCACACTTCTAATCTGAATGTTAATTTTCTTAATAATGAATGAGAGGTATAAAGTTAACCACATGCTATCAACTGCTAGTTACCACAGCGATGAAACAGCATTTATATAGGATTTGTATCAGTATGGCTTACAAGCTATAATCTTATAGGATAATGTACCTGCTTTGTTTGATGATGTGGACGGTACTGGAATATCGGGCAATATTCCTCCATTTGCTATTAACTCATTGATGGCTCTCTCAACATTGCCATGGTGACGCTCTAAAGCTCTCCTCGCTAAATCAATTTCAAAACCTAATGCTGTTACCTAGCAACAAGAAAAAATGAAGATGATCATCATAAGTTCTTTACTTACTTTTGTTTTTTTATTAATGTGGCAGGCATTATGGGTTTCACATCACGTTGTGGTCGCCCGTTGGCCATTTTGTTTATATTTATGGAAAGTGTCAATGTAAGACATATTTGAACCAATTCTGTTTGCTACCTAGTCCCCATGTACATGTTTAACATGGAATCATAATATGCTCCCATTTAGTAGTTGTTGTGTTTAATTTCTTGTGTTATCAAAATTTCATAAGCTGTAGAGAAGAAGGGTCATTGCCCAAAAAATCTGGTTATTCTGAATAGTTACTTAAGACAATGAATGGAAGTGTAATTTATTTCACCAGACACATAAATATTACAAATACATACAAGATTGAAGTTTTAACTTTTTTTGGTAAATTTAAAAGTATCAATTAATCAATAAATAATAGGGAGGAAATATACCTGGCATGGATGGCAGAAATAGTTTATCGAAACTAGTCAGCGACTCAACTCATTAATTATGAAAAGTAGGTGATGTAGAGCACTAAGGTAATATTATTGTGAATATTAAAATTACAAATACATCTTGAAATACTTTATTTTTGCTGGAGTTAATTTTCACTGAATAGACTTTTTGGGTGTTTTGTATAGAATTTATTTTCACTGACTTTTGATGAGTTGAATGTAAAATATAGGAAAAAAGGTATATTCGTTTGATTTTATTTTCACTGAATTATTTCTTCATCAAAAATAACGAAAATAAAGTATTCTACAGTAATACATAAATGGTAGTAATAGTGTAGACATATAGTAATAATATATATAATAATTGTTATATGTTTAGAATGTGTTTTTTTTAATGGTAATTTGAAAGAGAATCTGTTGGTAATAATCATCTCTATCAAAAGTTGGTATGCAGAAACACAAAATTGTTATATTTTGTAGATCAATTAGCTTGTCTCAGTCATGCTTTCAGTGTTGAGAGAAAGCAAAACATACTAGTTTACAACTACATATCAATAGTTCTTGTCATTTAAAGTAAATATTATCAACACAAGTCAAGAAGACTTGTTGGGAAAAAAAATATGAAACAAGACTTACCCCAGAGATGAGTTCATCAGTGATTGGTATTTTATTTTCACTTGGTTCCACATCAGGTAAACTTAACAATTCTGGGTGTTCTTGTAGTGTCTGTATTGCTACATTAATATCATTATTAGCTTGTCTTAATGCTGCGGATGATGCAGATTTACAAAATCCCATAGATATCAGTGTTTCATAACTGTCAACATTTACCCTGGAAAAAAATGGATATTACCTTTTAGATAAACTGTTGTAATTTCATGACAAACAATTTTCATGAATTTTATGCAAATGAGCTCAAAAGTATGCATTTCTATGCAAATTAGCTATAGTGATTCCACCAATGTTGTATTTTTTGATTTCATGTACTTTATTATCTATAGTTAATGACTACCACTTAGTTGTACTTAGGAGGTATATTCTGAAAATTAATTTAGATGTCATTCTTCACATCTGTAGATAAATCATGCTTATGTTCTCACAATAAGAGTATAACTTATTGGTAAAAATATAAAAATCCCTGCCTACAAACCTAGTAAATTTTTTAGGCTGTTACTGTAAATTTGTTTCATTTGGCCTAATGCCTAGCTACAATGCTAGCAATACACTTATACAAATGTCGCATAATTGAGATGTCCTCAACTTCGCAAAAAATTAAATAGTCTTTTGTTTATCAACTATTTTAAATGCTACACAAATCTATTGTTTACGTTGACATCATTTTCATTTAAGCAATGAAATCTAAGGTGAATACCTGATATCACTCATAAATTATTGAGATCGTACGATGCATGGATAATAGGCCAACCTTTGCACAGCAACAAATGTTAAGTACTCAGTGCAACTCACCATTTTCCATCACCTGTTTTACCAAGTTTCCGCGAAAGTTTCTTTCTCCTTTTCTCTTCAGCTTCTTTTTTCCTGATTTTCTTCCTCTCTTCTCGCTTGTCGGTAATTTTGATAACGGCTGACTGTATGTTACCATGTGCTGCACGTAAACCTAGTCTTGCTTCTGCCTCTGTGAAACCCATACTGACAACCTGGTTTAATTTGTCCACATCTACTTGTAACACCCGCCATATTGACTGTGCCTGCAAAGTGAGTAATTGAATCATTACTAGACCATGGTGATATCATAACACTATTAATTTAGTTTGAATCGGGTATAATAACACAACTTTATTCCACAATCAGTCATATTGTCATCCAATTGTACATACAAAAACATAATTTTTAGTAAAACTGGTTCACAAATGTACATAATTGTGATTGTGATATCATTAGCATATATGGTATAATAAATTTCACAATGATCATATTAAAGGGTGGTGGTCCTCAAGACATGCATGTGTGAGATATGGGACTCGATATGAAGAAAGATGGCAACTTTTACTGTTGCACAAACCAACAAGTATAAACTGAGACGTTACTGTACTAAGCTTTAACTAGGTAATTTTTTTGGTGAATAGAAGCTATCAAAGGAGTCAATAGCGGTAATATCGGTGTACTTTGCACTTTGGTTAAAACATGATTTCCATCAGAAGCGCACATTGGATTGTGGGAGAATAAATGTTTATCAACATAAATGTAGCACATAAGCGGCGAGACAACCACTGCCCTTTAAACCTCATCATTTAATGTGTGTTCGAATACATATACAATGTATAATATTAGAGGTGAAAATAGTGGTATGATGCTTTTAAGTTGAATAACAGCAAATACCCAATTATAATAACCCTTAACTAACAAAATTGATGACTAAAAATTGTTTTGAATGTATATATCACTAGGGAGGTACACAGACAAACATGTGGTACCTTAGTTAGTGTCCTACTGTATCTAAAGACCACCTTTTAACAGTCACAATGCAATTTTAGGACATGTTAAGTAACCTGTATATAAGACCACCTTAGAGAAGTCACAATATGGATCTAGGATACCCCTCCCCCCGAAAAATGTCCCTTGGGCAAATGCCCCGGTAGGAAAAATGCCCCTGGGCAAATGCCTCCCACACAATTATTATTTGTTATTTTTAGCAGTGATTTTGACTATTAATAATTAGTTTACTACTAGGAGTTGTTGGCAAACACTTGTTTATATGAATTAATAATAATTTAACAACTAGATGATAAAATTCACTGAAAATTTGGAAAAAATATGAAAATGTTTGCACTGAATTTTAGACAGGAAAATATCTGGCACTCAAATGGTTAAACTGAGAAATTGGAGTCATGTTATTATTCAAAGACTAATTAATAAATATAAAGACCATCTAGCTGACATAAAAGACAATTTTTGAATACCTTTTCATGGATAATTGCTATACACAGATTTGGCAGCATAATAATTCTGACAAATGTTAAAAAACTATTGACGACATTGACTGAATGACACGCTTAACATGTAGCAAAAGTGAGGATATGATTCATAAGTGTAATTCTCGAAAATTTAGCTATCAGAGTTGGTTATTTGATTTATCTCCTGATATAACATGTTTGTAGAGCTGATTGGTAAAGAGAAGTTAAGGCTGAACCTTATAAATAACTAGAGTTTGTAAGATTCTTTGTAGGACAGCACTCATGGTCCTACCTTAAGACAACTCTTACCTTTTCTAGTAGCAGCCATGCCTCATTTCTTTGAGTTTGATAGAAAGCCACCACACCTTGCAAGAGATATAACCTCACAAATAATGCCAACTCCCGAGAGTTGTCTCCTTTGACAGCATTCAACCTTTCAAAATTCTGTCCATAGCTTCTTTTAAGGCACTGTTCACTCGTCTTTAATCTTGCATCTAATAGACAATTGGAAAATATGTAAATTATCTATGGGAAGTAACGTCATGATTTTGATCATCGTTTTAATTTGATTAGTTTGCTACAACCACTATTATTCCACTGGACTTTTTTTAACACTGAGTAAAATGTACTTTTGCTTAAGTAGAAGAAGTCTAAATCAATTTGTCAGACCATGACGTTGTATAAATTTGTATTCTACACCAACCAGAGCCTGTGTGTACTGCAAACGAGTTGTGGGTTCACCGCTTTTCTCGTGTCAGTCGTTTGATGGTATTATAGTAATTTCAGACACATTTGGTGTCCTTAAATATGTTTTTGATAATAAAATATTATCAACACAGAAGAGCTATAGTTCCACCCATAGACTTGCATAACAGAAATGTGAGATACCAAACGATAACACAAATAAAGATTGATATACCACAATTATTACCGTAGTATCTAATACTATAAAAACAAAAGTTATACTGAGATCCAAATAAAGCAAGCGAGGGGGCTATTCTAATCAAAGAACCATTGTGCATACCTGCATCTGGTAAATCATTGATATTCTTTAGACATAGATAACACCATGTGATATCTAAACACAGAACTGCATAGTTGTCAACGGCATTCAGGATATCTGATCTACATTGTCTGAAAAAAACAACAATATTTGTACAGGTTTATTCTGTAATTTAAGACTTTCAACAAATTACAAATACTAAAGAGCGGTGGTTATTGTGTTGCTGATGTGTAAGATTTATGTAAACTTTTTTTAATTTTTATTTTGAACCAAAGGAATATAAAATCCCAGTGACTACAGTTCTTGATAAAAAAATTCAATACGGGTACTAAACAGCAGCATATACAACATACTGATATATATTTTTTACCAAAAATTCTTATTGTTCTCTGAAGAAAAGATCTTTCTCATCTCTCTTTCTGTAAGACCAGCAACTTAGAAATATGGAGCAATAATATAGTTTTATACACTTACCTGAATTCCTTATCAGCTTCTAACAATAGCAGTAATGCTCCACCATACTGTTTCCGTTTTAAAGCCGCTCTTCCTTTTTCATTCAGTGTCATCGCCAGAGCCAATGATTTTCGCTCTGCCACTGGTAAGTTGATTGGTTTACCGTTGTGATCAGCGATTTGTAAATAAAGTGCACTTCCATCTGAGTGTCAAAGCATATCAATACGTCACCAAATAAAGACAATTCAGAAGTTTAGAATAGTTATTCTCAAAATATTTGATACAAGTTTATATTTCTCTGATCTTGTTTTATTATTGCTTTGGTACAATCAATTTGATGTAATCAGTTCTGTTAACATTCAAACATATTCTAATAAACATAAACACATTCTAATATCAATACTAAAGTTATTAATTTTTGTAAATTTTTACAAAAAAAACATGCACAACTTTTTTTTTATTTTTCATTTCATCAAGACATGTAGGAAGATAGAAATTACAAATGTATGTCTATTTGATCCAAAACAAAGATATATACATTTGAAGACAAAGTGACAACAAAAGTTTAGTAGAGGAATATTATGGTATTGTTAGGATGAAAAACAGCATATGATTGATATGTCACAACATTAGTTAAACTATCGGTGAGTATCATCATGCAACCACAAACAGAATCAAAGGTACATGGTACTTGGTGGCATATGGGAATGGACCACATGATATACAAATGCATGAGTAACGTGTATCATAATGTATTATGTATATGTGATGTTTGAACTTCATTAGTCAAATATTTTACACAAATGATAATCAGATATATATGTAATGGGGAAAAACAGGGATGAATGGTTTAATGGATTTTTATATGTTAGCTTGAGGAAATATTAGATTACCGTCCTCTCTCCTAGTCAAGACTTCAGCTGCTTGTCTGGTTTTCTGTACATTCAACACTTCCTGCTCTTGTCTCCTGGCTTCGACTTCACTTTGAGACAAACATATCACCATTACCTACAAATACACACAACAGACATTATTTCCATTCAAGAATATCGGAACTAGACTTTCATCATATAAGGTGAAATAATCTCTAAACCCAATCAGCGTTTTAAAATCAGAAACCAGTTTAAGCTACACGCCTTTTCCTGAAATATGAAAATATTTCTTAGTTACATTATTAGTGTATTGTTCAGACAGATTAACGTTGTAGTAATAAATTGCAACAAAATTTCCCAAAATTGACCTAAATTTTAGCAGAACATAAAATTTCGCCAAACTTTTGGCCATGAAATAAATTTGAATGGAAATGAAAAAAAAAATTTAAAAAAAAATTGTCAAGTTTGTCCCTGCAACAATATAATAAACAAATTTTTGCTATGAACAATCAGAAGCTAAAAAAAACTATTCTCACTGTATTTAAATTCACTGAAAAGCTCCTCATGAAATATACATTCAAGACTTATTGACTTACCTGAGATTGGTGTTTAATATTCTGTGTCATGATAGGCCTATCGTCATCTATAACATGTCCACAGCTTATTAACTTCAAGTAATGACATTCAATATTAAAATTTGAAGATAACCTGAAAAGATTGATAAATGATTTATAAGAACACAGAGACATAGATAGTAAAATAGTGGGAGAAGTTCTATATAGATTGTAATCAAGACTTGTTTCATCTAAAATTCACAGAAAAATTACCATGCCTATAACTTTATTATTATTCATTGAACACTGAAAACAATACAGATCACAGTTCCTGAAACATTGAATTTGCATTCATTTAAACACTTTGAACCGCCTTAGTCAAGGTAAACATTGTCACTAACATTGGATGCGCTCAGGATGTTTTAAATCACAAGTGACATGTGAGAGAAATGGAAACAAACTGAAGGTACAAATCTGGTAAACCATTTTTTGGCTGCAATTTTCGTTTGCTTTCTATCGAAAAGATTATTACTACCGGTACAAGTAGAAAAAAATATTAATATCAATAATATTAAGGTTACATGTATCATGGGAATACTACACTTAGACGGGAC